AATCTTTATTAATGAAAATATCCAATCTATCAATTTTGTCAGCCATTTTAAAGAATGTAACACAGGTAAATAGAAAGGAATTCTCATCACAGCGATAAACATTTCATTTTATTGCCACATTTGAAAATCTTATCTCAAATAGTAAGAATCCAAAGACAATGTCTCCTTACCTTATGGCACACATCAATGGCATCAACGTATCTTTTGCCTTTCAGGTAGTTGAATGCAAGCTTGTATCCTATCATGAACAGTGGGGGAGAAAAAAACAAGTATAATTACATGTATAATTATGGTGATACAAAATCAAAAGGATGACGAATTGATATATATGAGAGTACCAATGGTAGGGTTGCTTTGGTTGCCGTACTTCCAGGCCATCTCATAGTTCACTGCTGCATCTCGATAAGCCTGTTCCTTCTCCATTATGTAACCCATATACTCATATGCTTTACAGCAGGACTGTAAACAGGAAAAAACAAACGCATCAGGCATATGAAGTGCTGTACAAAAGTCTTCGGCAATCAAAGAATATGCAGCTTAAATGATCTTCATGTTGGTGTAAAAATATGATGTCAGTCAAAGTGTGTCAACTTCGCCTTTTCAAAACCTCTCCTAAATTCACCCCGGTAATACATACTTATTAACCAGATAAATAGCTCTAAACATTTACTTTGACTGCCTAAGACTTTTGCACTATACAGTACGCTTTTGCGACGAGCAGAGAAGCATTCTTGCCTTATTGTGATGTAGACAGCGTTTCAGCAGGTCGGCCGCCATGTCGTACTTCCCGGACTGGATGTAGATGTCTGCCAGCAGCAGCCAGCTCTTTTCGAACTCGTCGGCGTCGATGGCGTTCCAGTTCATCTTGGCGATGCGCTTCAGCTGGTTCCTCGCACGTGGCGTCTGCTTCAGGATCATATAGGCTGTGGCCATTCCCAGCAGGGCTGGGACGTGATCCTTCTGTAAAACAGTGGAACGTGTCAGGTGGGTATCACATGGGCGTTTCAGGACTCGTCGACAAATATCTCCGCTTCACAGCTTTCTTCATATTAATAGAATTCAGCTTTGGAGGTATTTGTTTTATCTTGTTATATGTTCTGTTTTACAAAGTGCATGGTTAATTTATGCAAATTACAATACTCAAAGTTATACAAATGCTCAAAACACTGCTCAGTTTGTAGTATACTACTGTTGTTATAGGTTTCTGGATCATAAAAAGAGTAAAACCAGGCCTAGAGTCACGTGTGGCCTCTGGCACTGGTTTGGTTTGCTTTCGGGGAGTGTGTACACATTTCCATGCTTCAGTTTGCCCACCTCATTGTTTACGATCTCTGTGAACACACTGAGGGCCTTCTCAATGCTGGCTTTCTGCTTGGTGGCCAGGAAGCAGTAGTTCTCCATGATCCGCAGCTGGACGTGTCCGTCCGGAGTCTGCGGCTTCAGCTCCCTCAGGAGCTTCTCCGCGGTCCTCACGGCCAGCTGCTCTGACTCCTGCTTCTCCGTGGAGTTACTGGGCAAACGCATAAACACACGTCCAACATCTTCTTCAGCAAGTTTTCAAGTTCTCTGCCAACCTTCCGTTTTTCATAGCTACTTATCGCAGTACAGGATCACTGCGGGTTTGGAGCCAATGTAAACACTACACATAAAACAGGCGGCACCTTGGATCGGTTCCCAGGTGGTGTGGCCACAGCCCGTAAGGTCCTGACTCACCCCATGTCACCATCGAGGTTCTCGAACACCTCCCCGCCCATGGTGTCATTGTCTGGGTTAAGGCAGATCTCGATCATGTTGTAGACAGCGTTCTGACCCCAGTCGTTGTCTTTCCTCGCTTTGTTGAAATGCCGTAACCCATCGTTAGGTTCGCCCGTGTACCTTTTTGCGCAAAGACGACATCAGAGATATTCAATGACATTCTTTTTTTATATGGCAGCTTTCACAACACAGTCCTGACAAGAGTGGGTGGCCATCCACTACTATATCTACATTTGTGCATGTAGATATAGAGAAACGGGAAACATAATATACAAGTAAGGTCAGCCTGCTTTTCAGATTACAGTTCTCTATGCAGGTCTGCGGAAGGCTACAGATCGTTGGCAGCATCGTTTTTGAAAGCTGCCTCCACGATACCGATACGATACTGACTGTCAATAACAAGCGTACCATAAATAAAGTCCTTTGCAGTAGTTAAATCCAGGGTCGAATTTAGCCCTCGATGAATGCTTCTCAGCCATCTCCAAGAATCTGGGGACCTCCTCCAGCTTCCCTGCTCTCCTCAGAAGGTCGATCAAACGTGAAAGAGTCGGGTAGTTATCTAAGAAGAACAAATATTAAGAGACGTCGCTTAGCCCATTAAGAGCAGCTGCTGACGATCGGCAACAAGGTAAATAAGTGTATTTATTCAGTTCCTTTTTATCGGAGTGGTCGGGCTGCTCCGTCACACCTGGTTTGTGCTCCAGCAGCTGCTGGAAGTGCAAGACGGCCTGCTCGTAGTCCTGCTTCCTGAACATCAGATCTGCCATCATCTGGGCGGGTCGACACAGGAGGGAACGGGTTTCACACTCGGCTGTTCAAAAGGTATGGACATCGACGATGGACTAGCATAGGAAGACTGACCAGGGTCGCTGCCTCGTTGACCTGGTCACTCTTCAGCAAGGCGCCGCACTGCTGCTGACACGCATCGACGTCGTCCTGGGACAGGTACAGCCGTGCCAGCTCCAACATCACCTGCTCAAAAGCAGGATATCGCAGTAGTCCACATGTCTAATGCACCAGGAAACCTTTCAGATATTCTGATCACACTCTGAGCTGAAGAAAAGCTTCTGTCCAAAGTAGCATACTAGTGAGGTTCTGAAAGCAGGATCTACTGTAGCAACGTCCCTGGAGAAGTTGGGGTTAAGGGTCCTAGCTTAAGGACTGAATAGTGATTCATTACTCTGTTGGCCGTGGGATTTGATCCCACAGCCTTCTAGTCATGGGCATGGATCCCTATACCACTGACACATTACATGTCACTATGTTGGGTTTACAACTATCACTCCGAAATTGCATTAATTCCAAATGCATTTTACTTGCATTTTATGCTTTATGGAATCTGAAAAAGGTCAGAATTAGTTGAAGCCGGGATGTAAAGGCCAATGGGAAGGGCTGCCGGAAGCACACGGAGCACTGAGCCCACCTTGCCGTCGCTCTCGCAGTAAACAAGCGCCTCCTTGTAGAATTTAATGGCTTTCTCGTAGTCCTTCTGGCACGTGTAGTGCTTAGCGATTTCAGAGCAGATCTCGGCCGCAAGCTGTTTCTGCACCGCAACAGCATCCGGTTGCTCCAGCTGAACCCGCTTCAGCACCCTGGCCTGCACGTCACGGGCCTAGAGATGACACAGTGCGGGATGTGCGTGATGGAGGGGGGGGGGGGGGAAGCGGCACCAGCCACGGAGTGATGTGACCGTGAACACTGACCCTTTGTAAGGACAGCAAAGCATCATCGTTCTTGTCGGTTTTACCCTGGATCTTGGCCAGCAGCACCAGATAGCGGCAGTCTTCTGACAGAGACGGCAGGTCATTCACTAGTTAGGGCAAAACAGTGCAAGTGTTATACTTTGCTTAATATCTGGTCTCCACCGGACAATAAACCTGGAAAGAATGAACATAAGGCTTTACTGAACCTAGCTGATGAATTTGACCATCGATGATAGTTTTCTGGCTATACATGTACAGCTTACATCCGTGAAAAGTCATCCAGGTAGAGTTTCAATATATAAAAACAAAAACATTGTTAGTTAAATCCATCCATCTTCCAACTGCCATCCATCCATCCATCCATCTTCCAACCAGGCAACCCTGGTCCTGGACTGCCGCTATCCAGCAGGTTTTCCACCACACCTGGTCTCTGAGGAACCACAGCTGATCTCAGGCAGATAGTAACTCATCCGGTATCAGCACTCCAGTACAGGGTCACTGGGGGTCTGGAGCCTTTCCAGTGGAGCACACAGCAGACGTACACCCCCCATCGGGTCACACAGATACACCAATGCACCTAACTGTATGCCTCTGGACTTTGGGAGGAAACTGGAGTAGCTGAAGAAATCACTGGAAGAGCCAGAAACCCATATGTAGCATATGTAGGTTAAAATATCGTAATTTACAGTATTTGTTTCTGTTTATAGAGCCATTTTGCCGAAAAGGTTTTAGATCGATCACACCACTAGAATTAAACAGCGTGACAATCCACCTATAGTACATGCGGGTGTATGTTCAAGTGTTATATGCCTTTCCACTGACTTTTTGAAAGCTTTGAAATTCGGCTTGTGCTGGAATGCAAGTAGTATTTTTTGGAAATGAAAAATCTGCATATCACAAGTTTAAGTTAAACCATAAAATATTAAAATATGTGTGATTCTCACAAACTGACATTAGCTTTTTACCTACAATAAAATTATGCTTTTTGCTCTGTTTTTATGATTTTTAACCATTTTTGCCAAATAGATAGCCAAACATCTAAGAACACAAAATTAAATTAACTGTGTTCAAACCTTTCAACTTTATGCATGTAGTACACAATAAACAATCAATTTCTATGATAAGATTTTTGTTGAACATTTAGTTATTTTTTTCATGTCGGTTAGTCTTGCCCTGGATTTGATTAAATACTACTATTACAAAAATGAATAGTACTGTAACAAAACCGATAAACTACCCCAAGGTAAAATCCACGATTTAAACAATCAAGTTGTATAATTTAAGTTAGTCTACAAACTAATATTAAAAATCAGAAAAGTGACATATATATAATAATGAGTTCTCCCCTTTGTCTTAATTCTACATTAATTTAGTGATCCAAAGTGTAAATATTTATGATTGTAAGTTATAATGTTGGGTGCGATTACTCACGAATAATCAACTGAAAACGATTAACTTTTTTTATGGATTCGCATCACTAATTTTTACATCATTGTGTGGTACATAAAAGAGTATGTCTGGTTCCTGGTACAAGGCGATTTGGGTTCAGTACCTGGGTCGTGGCTCAAGGCCTCGTGCAAGACCCTCTCGCAACGTTCATACTGTCGCAACTTCAGCAGCAGCTCTGCCAGGTCATAACGCAAGAAGTTCTGCTGACCGCTCTTCAGGGCAGCTTCATAATAATTTATCGCCTGGTCCAAAAGTAAGAAATGCTATTGGGGACATTCCGTGCTGAAGTGGTCGACAGGTGACACTTGCAGGAAACACAGAGATGCATGAACAGACCTTAATGTAATTGTGGGTCTTCACGAGGGCTTTACCGATCTTGCTTGCCAGCGCACCATCTTTTGGATTCTTTTTCAAAGCCTGCTCGTAGATCTCAATCGCTTTTTCAGGCTGTAGATAGAAGAAAGAAAGAGCAACACGCCCCAGTAAACAAATCTGTATATATCCCACAAACCTACACTATATGGCCAACAGTATGTAGACACCCCTATTAATTAGAGGAATTTGCTAATTAAGCCACACCCAGTGCTGACACAGGTATACAACTGAGAAGACGGTCATGCAGTCTTCAGTGGCATCTGTGTGGGTGGTCTACAGAAGAGGTTAAGTGACGTTCAGCTTGGCAGCATCACAGATGCCATCTTTCCAACAAGACAGTTTGCCAAATTTCTGCCTTGCTAAAGCTGCCCCGGTCGACCACAAGTGATCGTGAATCGGAAACGTCTGGGAGCAAAGTCACACAAAGGGACCTGGTCACCCAGCCTTAATACCCCAGCAGAATGGAAGTAAATCCCACCATTTCATAGAAAGCCTTTTCAGAAGAGTGGAGGCTATTACAGCAGCAATGGGTGGACAACTTTCAAGAAGAGCACATGATGCAGAGTCAGATACCTCTTGGATTTTCATATAGGCGTCTCCCAGTAGAAGGTGTGTATGAGGACCTGGAAGCTTCTCCACCAATTCCCTGATTTAAAAAAATGAAATGGATTTAAATTCCCGCAAAGTGTCCAACATCACAACTGCGACGATAACATTGCAGCGCCCAGATTTATCCATCAGACTCAAAGGTCTTCTGGATCTCAGTCTCCCCCAGTGTATCTGAGGGCTGTCAGGACATTTACAACAGACACCATTAACCCCCCCTGACAGCCAGATCTGCTTCTCCAGAAACCCAAAGCAGCTCTGGGTACACAAATTACACTGCAGTAACAGGATGAAGCTGAAACTTCCACCTCAGTAAGATTTCTGCACCTTCAAAATAATGAGCTTCACTTCTGCTGAAGCAGAAAAGATTGGTCCTGGGGAGGTCAGGGTTGTATATGTCAGTAACTAAGTAATTGATTTGCCCAACCACTGTAACAGAAGAGAACTGGTGCCAGATGAAAGTGGCTGGGAAAGACTGACACGGCGTGGAGGGGGGGTACGAGCGCCTTACCGGTAGCAGCTGGCATAGAGGCGCTTCTCCTTCCTGTGTCTCAGGTAGATGTCCGCCATCTTTTCTTTAGCCTGGATGAAGTAGGGCTGTTCAGGGGTGACGTTTCGGAGCATGCTCAGTGCTAGCTCAGAGTCCCCCCGCAGCAGAGCCAGGTCAGCGTTGGCAATGGTGACCCTCAGCTCCTCCCCGGTGCCAGTAAACTCATTGATGGCGTCCTGCATTATCTTGGTGGCTTCATGCTGGAGACAGAGTGATGCCAATCAGGATGCTGGTTGACATGAAGTGGAGGGTACAGGCTAATGGCATCCATCAATCCATTCATTTTCCATAACTTCTTACACTATTCCAGGAGTACTCAAATGGTGGACTATAGTCCGCTTACAGACTGAAGCACAACACAATCCGGACCAAGTCAGCGAAATCTATTTCAGAAATCAACGGAAGGCAACAAGATACACCATCACATACACAATCACAACAAAAGGGCAATTTAGGGACACTAATTCATCTAAACCGCATGTCTTTGTGCTAGGGGAGGAAATCAGAGTACCCGGAGGTAACTTGCACTACATTGGGAGAAAAAAAATTTCAAGAACACACACAATCCGCTTTCCAGAATTACAGCAGTCTCAGACTACGAATAAAGGCCAATGTAAAATAAGGCGATTCTTGGGAACAGAAAGCTTTCACAGAGATAATAATCATGTCTGCTACCTTTTCTCAGAATCTGCCTTAAGCCAAATGCTTCCACATGCAATTCATGCCGAATAGAGACCTTGGCACAGTAGAACCACTGAACGCAAGCCAGGTATTTTATCGGTTCTGTGCAGATGGGGTTATCTTGCACCACTGCTCGAGCGCGTGGTAAATCTCTGACCGCGAGTAGTTATGAGAATCGAGTAAGAGAAAATCGCCCCGAGGAAGCAACAGGAAGTTAAAACTGGAAAGCAAAATTAATTCCTACTGTAGCATTTCATCTGAAGAGATTAGGCTAAAGGCACAAATCTCTGAGATTCTGTACAGAAAGGATGAAGCACTGAGGTACGGATGATCGGCACAGGATTACCATGTGTCGTGGAAAACTTACTTCCCTGGTCAATTCCTGACGAATATCTATTTTTCTAATCTTATTCCGAATCCAGATGAACGTTTTGATCATTAAAACAAGTAATAGTTGATACTTTCCTCAGAGTCATGCCGCTTTCCTCGTCAAGGCTCATTATCACGGTACCGCTGGGTACAGGTCATTCTCTGGCACTCACCTGCTCCCCATTGAGCCAGTGGGCCTCGGCGAGCTCCAGGTAGAGGGACACACAGTCGGCGGAGCTCAGCTCCACCCACTTGCCCTTCAGCTTGGCCGAGCTCCCGGTCCTCCGCACCCCCGGCAGACTCAAGGCCATCTGCAGAGTCTGGATGGCCTCCTGGAGCTCCCCCATTTTCTTCTGCGTCTGGGCTTTGATTAGGTGGTACAGAGGATGTTCCCGCACCTGGGTCAGAGGAGAGCGCCCTCATAAGTCTTCCGTAAGCATCGCACTCTAACGTGATTTACATATAAGCAACCAAATGCACATGATATACATAATAAATTAATTCTGGTGGACGGTGAAGTTAATTATGCTTTTAGTAGATCTCCTTCTGTTAGTTCCTTACACTGACAATGTTTGGCTTTATTTTGGGTTTATACTCATTCCTCCAACGGCAGCAGCAAACCATTAAATATTTAAACTGATAGCTTTACACCAGCAAGTTCTTCACTGTTCAAAGTAGCTGCTGTTATATACACTATCATGGTTTCTTAGCACGGATTTGCTTCAGTTATACCTGAATAAAAGCAATTTCAGGCTGTCAGTATCACCATCTGACTTTTGTTAAACCATAATTAACAATTAAAGTTTTGATTTAGCTTGTTCATTCATCTGTGAAGGAAATTATACTGTCTTAATTTCACCAGCCCGTTAGAGCAAATTGATGGTGATATAAATGTTCATAATCATGATACAATATTTTATTGATATATCGCCCCGCACCAAGACAGAACTCACCTCGAAGTTGTAGCTGAGGCAGAGCTCCAGGGATTGGGAGGCGTGCTTGAAGTTGCTTTGCAGGAGGTAGATCTGGGCCATAAGGAGGTGGGCTTCAGCATAAGAGGGGTTCTGGTCCAGACAGCGCTGCAAGCTTCTTTGAGCAGAGTCAACTTCACCTGTAAGATTGGGGGGGAGGATTTGCTCTCAGAAACAGGATTTGCTCCCACAGTGAATTCTGCATGTTTTTTTTAGTTTTTTTGGGTTCCTGTAGAACATGCCCTCTGCCATTTCATGGTCCATGTGTCTCCAGCACTGCATGCCTGCTGGACCTCATTTCATCTACGGCCCTATGGGACAAAAATGCTAGTTTTGCTTCCCCCAGTTTCTTCCCTGCTCCACTCAGCCTTAAACTCCCAGCTGTCCTACCCCTCAAGCTCCGTTTCAAAACACTGCGTGAGCTGATCGTAAACAAATTCCATCAGCCCCCCGACACAGTGCTCTTGCAGAACTGGAGCAGCTTAAATAGGAGTCACTCTACACAGCGGCACAGGAACTGGGGGCAGAGGACATGTACCCCCCAGTTTAACCCCCACCCCAAAATTAAATAGACCTTTATATTTAAATTGAAGTTGTGCCCCCCTCCAAGTAGCAAACTCTCTCATATGCCCCGTGACTCAACAGAATTGCCCCTACCCTGGGTTTGCTTTTGGTATTTTGAGATGTACAGTTTATGCTGGTTCGTCTGTTACTCTGTGATCCCCCCCCCCCCACTTATTCTCCCAGTCTCCTTTAAAGGGTTAAGATGAGGTTACTAACAATATGCCCTCTAACAACATCCTATTTAACTGCCTCTATCTTGTCTCATTTAGCTTCTGCTGGTTTCCATCTTAAGGTTTGCTGTTCCAACAGCAGCATTACCATGCATCCATCGGCGTATTAGGTCTGATCTCACTTGACACGGGTCATTTCAACACTAGTCAGAACACCACCCTCTCCTGCTATCAAACTCCAGTCTTAGTCTAATTATACAATCGTGAAAGTTCAACGAGCATGTGGGAAAAATCATGCAATGGACATCTTACATGAGGAAGGAATAAGCCTTTTTCAGATCTTCTCACGTACCATCTACCCAAATGCATATTAGAATTAGAAAAGGCAGCTTACTTTATTTGGAAAATTTGTAGCTTATTTTCTGAGGAATGCCAAACAGTCAGTATTTATACTGAGAATGCTAAAGAACAAAATTAATTGGTTGCAGATATTTTGATTGACACAAAGAGCAGAGGTACAGAAGAGGGAATTTCCATTCAGAAACCTTAGATGCTTCTCTGACCTGATTGGAACTTGACCTTGGCCATAAGGTAAACAGCCTGCAGAAGTCCTGGGACAGATTTCACCACGGTCTCCAGGACTGAGGTGCTGTGTTGGAGCTGCGGAGAGGAGGACTGGCCCTGGACAGACAGCTTACATTAATTACCATTAATTTCACCTAAATAAAATCTACCCATGCTTTCTTACATATATATATATATATATATATATATCTCTTTCAACAAGTTAGGCTGTACAGAACTCAACAAATTCCAAGGAAACTTATGTGTATGACTATCACTTTCATTAAAGACGCCTTAAAGATGCATCTCCCTACTGACCTTTGTGAGGCAAAGAGCAAGGTACTCCTTAACGATCTCGAGCAAGAAGTCGGGATTGAGTTTCTCCAAGTACTCCACCCCCAGCGGCAGCCCGTGCAGGCCGGAGAAGTGAGTCTCCACGGCCTCGTTCAGCAGGCCGGTCACCTCCTCCGCAGGCCTGCGCTTCTTAGCCGCCAGAACGGCGCGCAGATACAGCAGCTCCTGAGAAGGCAGTACACTCAAGGCCTGCGTAATCCTGATCCATGCATTGCCAATGTCAAGGACAAACTAATAAAGTAAATAGCCAGAGCGAGAACTACAGCCAGACAATAAGGTCAAAGAGCAAGAGCAGGCAGGGTGGTGAACGGGATAAAGAGAGGAATACCAGCTCTCCTTCATGTCTTAAAACAGCTTGGTCTACTGTACATCTCCATATATACTTCACTCTGATGCATGTCATACTCAAAGGGTCCCTTTACTACAAAGTAGTATACATGATTCTCAAAACATGTTCAAAAATCTGGACACAAAGGGACAGGTTTACCAAAGCAAAGTTATTACTACTGATAACAGGATGTTTGCTTCTGCTGCACCGTGTTTATGGACTTCCTTACCTTCTGATGTTAAGGGGTCAGCTTCAACTGAATGGTTTAAAACCAGATTGAACACTTATTTCTATTCACTAGCCTTTCATGACTATCAGTGATTCTATGTTTTGTTTTCGTAGCTACTTATTTGTCTTATTGTATTTTTATTTATTAATTTTATTGTACGATTAATATGAAGCACTTTGGTTACAACATTATTGGTGTTGTTTTAAATTTGCTATATAAATTATATGCTACTGCTACTGACAACAGTAAAAGTATTCAGCAGGCAGCAATCAAGCTAAATGAAAGGCTAGTCGTGTTAGCCTCAGTACACAATACATCTGAGCCAGTTCCAATGCTAGGAATAAGTACAGGGAGTAAATCACACTGTCATCTGTAAACTGCTGTGAAACTACTGATCTATGCCCCAAACAGCGATCTGCAGCATTATTCTGCAACTAAAATGCGAGCATCATATTCTACCTTGCTCTCAGTTATTCCAACTCAAAACACTGTGCGTGTTTTAAACATCTTAGTTTTTACTCATTTTAATTAAAAATATTACTGGGACCTTTGAGAGGAATCAGACCTCAGTAACAGCTCTATGGTCCTGCTTATATCCTACATTTTCTAACTCTTCTCTCCTGGACGTGAAGATATATAGACTTTTTTGTCCTTCGCCACAACCCAACAAGCTGCAAACAGATGACAACAGACACCTGTGACAGTGACAGGTTAGAAAGCGTGTCACAAGCCCTGAGAGGACATCATGCGCAAACCTAACGAAGCCAGTAAATCCTCGAACTACACTCCCTTCAACGCCGCCCCTATGGCACATACTGGACAAAGGAGAGCAGTACGAGTTGGGCAGGAACCAGCAAAGCAACCACCAGGATTCTAAGCTGCAAATAGTCGTGAAGGATTCTTACCCCCGATTTCCCAATGGACTGCTGGATTTCAGTGAGGAACTCTAGCTGCTGTTCTGCATCTTCCAGGTGGCCTTCAACAAGCTGACACCTGATGATACCTACCATTTAAAGGGGAAAGGTCATTCATACGGACGACCTTGTGAACCAGATTATAGGGTCTTTTAACACTGTGAAGACCTTAACAGATCCTTCTGTTAACACTTAAAGCAATAGTATTCAACTAAAATTCCACGCGGTCCGGTATCTTAACATCTGCCTCAGCCAAGGTCCATACTAATTACACTTAACAATTCAGAGTCTGTCGTGCTTCTTATCAAACTTAGCTTGCATTGTATTTTTCAACATTTTTGAAAACATAATTTTCATTCTCAAAGTAAAACAAATTTGAAAGTGCATATATTCAGTAAAACTGAGGTAAAACAGAGAATATATAAAATGAAAGTACTTTTTCTGAACAATAATATTAACAGACTATTTATACTAATAATGAATGTGATACACATGCATGGTGCATTTTTAATGGGGGCATCGAGCTGCGACAGAGCATCCAGCCAAAATGTCACTTCTTCTGCCGGCTGTAGCTGATGGCTGGGTTTTGCTTTATTTTTTCCACCTGTTCGTTATTTAGCCATCTGACTACATTCTAGCAGCTGCATTCACACACAACCTTTCTGTAAATGGCTCCCCAGAATCCACTGTACTCTCAGCAAACACTGGACTGCAGTGTCGTTAAGTGAGAATTACCTCGACCATACTTGGCTCTGAGCTCATTTTGTGTGTCCCTACCTCGGAATGCTGGGGATATTTTCTTCAAAGTGTTGGTGTTTTGTCTCCTAACCGCGTTTAACGTTACCACTTACCATACGCCACAGATCAAGGACAAGGGATGTGCTTTGTTTGTTGCGGGGAGAATGAAGGCATATTTGTGTGCAATCTTCTTTAAACACTTGATTTCCCGTGTCAACATTTCTTATTTTACGTTTAGAACAAGCCATCATTCGACATGCGTTTCTTTCTTTCGGTGCATCCGCCCACTTGCGTTTCTGCCAGACTGCGGTTATTCTGCGATTGGAGACAATGCAGGAATGGAAGGACCCACACGGCTCACCCGAGCTGCACAGCCTAAAGGACTTTTATGATTCTTAGATTTTATTATTTGGACGCATAACACTTTGCGGTCTGAGTAAACTGGGACCTCAGACCGGAGGATCTCTCCACTAACAGTCAACACCTTAAACAATCTTTCTGTTAACACTGTCAACAAAGTCTGTCTACAAAGTGGGGGACGATTTCTGGAGATAGCAGGGGGGGGGGGGTAAACCATCTGAGAAGAATAGCAATGTTCACAAAATGGTGTATTAGGGTCAAGTGGCTCAATCCAAGGTTCTCTGTTTATATACGATAAAAATGGTTTTCAGAAAAGTCATATAATCTACAGCAGGGGTGGTCAATCCTACCCAGAAAGGCCTATAGGGTATATGGATTTTCCCAGCAACTCCCTAACCAGATTACTACTTAGAGCACTGATTGTCTGAAGAGTCCTCATACCTGGGTTTGAACAGCTAATGTAAAGGTTATCCTAAAAACCTGTGTACACTGGCCCTTTGCAGATAAGATTGGCCACCCCTGGTCTACAGTGTACCATATATACAGTAGCATGGAAAATTCTGCTGAACCTGTCTTACCTGTTAATGCAGTGACACTGGTTTCATCAAGAGTCATGGCTGTCTTATACCACTTGGTCGCTTCCTTGATTCTTCCCAGCAGGACCAGCTGATAGCCCAGCTCTGTAGCTAGCTCAGCATCACTGGAGGCAATGGAGAAGGCCTTCTCAACCAGGCCATGGGTTTGCTGGAGGACCTTCTCATGTCTCCCACACTGAGCAAACAGTTTAGTCAGTATAAACTACAGGTACGCAACAACGAGATCTTATCACAATTTTATTTATGAAAAGGGGAACGCAAAATGGGTGTATTCATACCGTCCTAGTAAAGGCTAGAGACATCCTGTAGAAGAGGTCATGGTTCTGGGGCTCTTGGATTTCCAGGTTGCTGATAAGGTTTGTGAGCTTGTTCAGGGACTGGATAAAAAAATATATATCAAAGCTATTAGTACCCAGCAGACATAGAGCCATGGAGATGCAGACAACAACATCATATTGGCACGTGAATTTGTTTTGTCCCAGGAAATGAGATGATGCACAGGACCAGTCAAAAACAACACTATTTACAATGCGGTAAAGTTTGTAATCAAAGAGGTCAGAATTAGGGTTACAGACGTTGAAATACAAGAGTTAGGCATTTCACGGGTTCAGCAGACCTTGTATTCTGTACGTTTCATCTTTTTGGATATCTATACTGCCCACGTGAGTCTATTTTCTGTGCATGTGCATTTGAGCTCACTTTGTATCTGAGAAGACCCTTTTCTCCAGCACAAATAAATCACACTGCCAGGCTTGTTTACATTACAACTTCTACACACAGAGGGTGAGGGAAGGGCGGGCAGTCACAGTGCACTCAAAACTCCCACTAAAAGCAATTACATAACTGTCACGGACAGAGCCAGTCACAACAGCTGAGTCAGAGTGGGAAGATGGAGTCACAGGGAATGCTGCGGAAGAAACGGGCTCTTATACAGTCAACGACTACCTGTCACACGCAATTTAGCAAGAGGCGGCACCATCGAGCCCAAGTCAACCTAACTCCAGTGCCTAACTCCCAAAACTTCAGCACAGACAAGTGTCAATCTAAAGCTGTACGGGGCCTCTTGTGATGGGTCGTGGAACTGCATCACGACAGGCTTAAACTTCGCAAGGAGACAAGGGATCGAGGCAGGAGCCAATAGCAGAAGAAGCCTACATAAGCATTGAACTGGAGAAAGGGCAACCGGTCTCCCAAACGATCTGAAACAGTCCTCAACATTCGGCCACTCGTTTCCTGAGCTGGCTGATGAGGTGAACGACGAGGAATTTGACTTTTTGGTTAGAGGAAGGGACAGGCATGTCAACATCTGACCGTGCCAAATCTTACCTCACTTATGTCTCCCTCTCGGCACAAGCAGTGAAGAGCAAGAATCCTCAGGGCTTCCAGATTATTCTTGTCTTTCTGCAACAATCTGCACGGGGACAGATCAGTTTTGTGCCCATTCATAGTATATGTCACATGGCATCAGCAAGACCTCTGAAAAAAGCAAAATCACTTAACACTGACGAAGTGGACAGCGTCAAACACTGCGGATACATAAGCGGTCAGCTATTTAAGGGAGACCAAGGACCTTTTCCAGAGATGCGCTATGTGGGAAGAAATGTGTCTGCTTGTGGTGACAACCACAAATATTGTTTTGACACGTTACAGAAACGCTTAGACATATGTTCTTTATCATATACTGTTATAATTTCACAAGTGCAAAAATATATTTTTCATTAATTCCTTCCCATGTATTCTCACACACAACTGGATGATTAATACACGTAATGCAGACAAATTCATATATCACACAATACCATGTGCTATAATCCCGTAGTTTACGCTCCTTTCAGGGAGCGATAAAATCGAACATTCGCATCATACTTTCCCTGATGCGCAGATCACGATTTGCAGTTTATATTACCAAAGATTCAGGAAGATTCAGCTGCCACACATCATAAAGAAGCAAAAGAAACTGGTCTCTTACTGTTATTTAACTACACTGGAATAATTCCTTTGGGGAGTTGACTACATTGAGAAAACAGTGAGTGGGTGTTCTTATCAAAGTTAATTTCCATTGTGTATGAATGTTACTCTCCAAAAAACTTATAATAGAAGCCTGCACACAGAAGCAGAAAGATATACCCATATGGAGACAATCACCGTGATCTTTCAGGGCTGCAGGCATTGATCTTTACTTCTTGTGGAAGTTGGGATCTCTACTGCATTATTAGCACGTTACATTTCCATTCCATATAAAGCTCTGGCAAAAAAAAAATCAGACCACTCCATACTTTCTAAGAATCTGCATTGTTAAATCCAGGTTTAATCCTGGTTCTGCTGGCAGAGGCTACACTGAGCGTCAGGCTGCTTCCAGGCTCAGAGTTTCTAAGCCAGCAGTACACAAGAACAAGGTGAAGCAGGAGACACTGGTAATGACCAAAAACCAGCCAGGTAAAGGGCGGAAGTGACTTTCTAATGGCAGAGACAACCATCAACTTATACAACAGTGCCTCATAAATCAGAGGATGACATCAAGTGACATAGAAAAAGAATAGGAAACATTAAGTGGTGTGAGGTGCACTGCTAGCACAAGTTTGCAACAGGCTCCTAGAAGCAGGACTGAAGTCCCCTAAAGCCAGGAAGAAGCCCTTCATTAATGAGAAACAGAGAGCCAGTAGAATGCATTTTTTACACAGAAGAATACGCATAAATTGAGAAAAGAGTGAAACTAAAAATGTTGCTGCGGTCTCATAATTTTTTCCAGAGCTGTATTCAGATTTTCAAAACATTTAGCATCATCTTAGCGGCCTGTCTATCCACATCTGCCGCCCCGCCCCGATTTGAAAAGCGCCTGGGAAGGCCACCCTCTGCTCACACAGCTTCACCCAGCTTCAGTACATCTTCTCAACTGACTTTTTTTCCCTAATCTTTCACTCCAACCAAAAATGCAGGAGTGACAACACGATGAAACACGGCAAAAAAAATACAAACATGCAAATTAGGACAGTCTGTCTAGTTTCCGTTTTCACTTTGCAAGTTTGGCTGTAATTCAAATCAAATTCATGGTCCCTGAAAGGCCTTTAACAAAGCATTACCAAAACCTTTTATTGGAAGCTCAGCCTAGCTGCACTTATGGCTAGTTGACTCCTAAACAGCACAATGCTTGCAATGAGCTATTTGCCTTGTATATCATTTTGGACAAAATTGTCCGCTAAATGCATTAAATGCAAAATGTAATAAGAAATAACCCATTAAAAAAAAATATACTGATAATAAAAATAGCAATAACAGCTATTATTATACTACAGAAAAAACACACCCATCTACCACCCAGCACGCCCCAATAAATGGTGTACAGCACCTCTGTGCTGCATCAACAGTCTGCTCCCAGTCCTGTAGGGTCAGCAGCAGCTTCATCTTCTTAATAAATGCAGGGAGGTAGTGTGGGAAGCTCACGATGACCTGGTTGATAATCTCAAGGGCTCCGGAGTAGTTCTGGCGAAATTCGTAGTACTGCGCCTGAGCGGAAACAAATCAAAACAACCCAAAGAAAGAGAGACCACAGCCTTATTAAAGTGTTCAATCCCGGCATGAGTCATCCAGAGAGAGGACATCTGAAACATCTACTGCCAGATACTGGTGTCCAGAGCCGGGAGGGTGGGATTGAGTGAACGGAGCACAACAAGCAGCTGACAGCAGTAATGCTGCAGGAGACACATAATAAACTTCACCGCCCCTAAGCTGGCAGGGCAGCAGGGACTTAGGGTTTCTACGTTCTAAGTTACTTGTACCGATATTTCTAAGTTACAGACTGAGGAATATTTCAAAATAAAAAATTACAAAATATTCATAGACAAATGGCTCCAAGAAAAGCCCTCTTAAATCCCCTGGCAGGACTTAGGAAACAGAACTTCAAGCAACATTTTTTGAGGGATAAACGATGGAAGAAGTCAACAGAATTAAATGCATTATAACTTCAAATGGGAAACTAAACAATGTAGAGACGGTGGTTCTGAAGAACCTAATTAGACTGTCAGGATTTTCATATTGCTCAGAACATGATCACTCTGCCCTTGATTATTGGAAGCATCATAGACGGATTACAGTTGGATAAAAACATGGTGAAAAGTGATCGTTTGACTATTTATTTGCACTAATGGCTGAGCTTGTTACGTAAAATTTCAAGTCACATCCACTGTACCCCATTCTTGAGACGTAAAAATTACGATACCTTCCCCATGAGGGCAAACACATCAGGGCTTTCCTTAAGTCCTTCATCAAAATACTTCCCAGCTTTTTTGGCACAACCATCCTTATTAGATGTCAGATCAATCCACCCTTTCAGAATCAGTCCCTGAAATGACAAAGACAAACACAAGTTTACTACAAACTCTAGCTATTTCAGTCAACTGACTACAAATGACTCTTATTAAAACAACTTTCAGTTGTTATTGTTATGATGATGAATTACATGACCGTTCTACAAAATGTGTTTTCCATCTGCATGTTTGCATATTATCTTATCAGGAAACCTAACATTGTATAAAAAGACAGTGAACTAGTGGTGAACCAATAACAAATAAACATTACTTGTTTAAACAACTACTTATATACATTTATGTACTGATGAAAACAGGATTCAATGCCCAAATGAGGAAGAAGCAACTGGTTATTAACTGGTTATTCCACTTTTTAGAGTTATAACTACTGTCTGCAGATACTGATCAGTCTCACAGAGCCATAGAGGAATTTTTAGCCCTCTCGTCCATGTGTAAATGCCTCAGCAATATTTGTGGGATTATGAGCACAAATTCCTTCTTTCGGGTCTTGCCACGTCTCAGCGGGGTTGAGATCTTGGCTTTAACCAGCCCCGTCCAAGAACTTTCATTTTCTTGTTCTTCGACTGTAACACTGTGGCACTGTGTTTTGGATCGTGGAGTCGCTGCAGGATCCAGGTGCTTTATACCTACGGTTCCCAGATGGATAGAAGGCCCAACACTGACCTGGAGGAAGGTCCAGATGTGGAAGAGTAGCTCCAAAACATGACTCTAGCCCTATGCTGTGACAACCCACAGAAAGACCTAACCAAACCCAGTGCAAAAGGTGTGCAAAAATGGTAAGAATGAGAGAGATCTTGACTAATTTTTTTTCTAATTGAACTACTCATGGTGTGGAGACAATCAGCAACTCTTCTGGCAATAAAAAACACTAAACAGATTGGTTTGGTCCCGGAGGCTCACCTCTTTGGCACCGTTGGAGATTTTGATCATCCTCTCGATGTACTCCCTGGCCTTGTCGTTACGGCCGAGGTGCCAGAGGAACAGACCGGCGTAGTACAGCCCCTTTGGGCCCGCAGTCTTCCGGTCATCCTTCACCTTGGCATCCAGCTCCTGAATTGTCTCACGGTCTAGAGAGGCAAGGGCACAGATCTCGGTGTAGCTGCCAGACAGCCCCCCCCCCCCCCCCCCGCCACACGCACACCCATTCGGCAAGAATGGTGTGCTTCAAGAATACCAGACAAAGGTTCACATGTGAAATTATGTACGTGTGCACATACACAAAGTGTGCAAAGCCTAGCAGGAAGGATCAGGAAAGAAAATGAACACACACAGCTACTTATTCTACACTGACTATAGGGTACTGGATAGGTTCGGATGGGACAACAGTGTGTGGCTCAGTAGGTTATGACCGAGTGCCTGTGAATATAAGGTCACCAGTTTAACTCCCAGACTTGGCAGAGTGATGTCAGGCCCCTGAGCAGTTTAACTGCCAATTGATGCAGTGATCGACTGACCCAGTTTTCTCAAAAAAATACCATGTCGCTTTGGATAAAAGTGTTTGCTAGATAAATAAATTGTAAACGCTCTTTGCAATGATGCTATATTGTGCTAAAGGTTCAGATGTGAAACAGCTACCATGCAAAGGTACTGGTGTATTACACACTCTTCTGTTTGTAGGTACATAAAATGTCCCAGACTTCAAGCAAACCTGGATTTTGGCTTTTCTTCTCCGCAAAAACCAGTGACATCAAGACGCACAGCGACACATCTCTCTTTTCTTTAATGGACTCCAACTCATGAATGGCTTCCTGTACTCTGTCTGCAACGAGACATGTCACTTTGGTGACACAGTAGAAGACTTCCAGGAAATTGTACAATAGCACAACAGTCAATCTCAAAAAAAAAGAGAAAAACAAAAATGAAGTGACTATTTACCTTGCATGAGAATTCCGTAAGCACGGTAAAAGGTGAAGATCGGGTCACTGCCAAATTTTTTTTGCGCCTCATTTGCAATGCTAATCACACGATTAAAGTACTTCTCCTGGCAGTAATAATTAATCAAAGCCTGGAAACAAAGACAGGCACTCAAAAATCAGTAAGGTAGCCCGCAATACAGAGCATAACACTGTTAAATGACACACTTGTTTCAGTATAAAGGCATGCACAGCTCATTAATAATAATAATAATAATAATCAAAATAATAATAATAAAACCAGTTGGTATTAAAATATTCTAATTTAATATAACAAATCTCCCCACACACTGTCAAGAAACACACCAAGAAAAGAGGTGCATTGGTTTTGGAATATAATGAAATTTCAGACAATAAAAACGACAAAGTACAGCAAATAAAACACACATCATTGTAGTGTAATACGGTCATTATTATGTAAGAAAACCATATGCATTATTATGGCATACGAGGTTTACAGCAGTAGTAAAACTTGCAGCCTGTCGAATTTCGATATTTAATTACAGAATAATGTAAGTTCTAAAATAACAACCACTGTTGTTAAAACGGGAAAGGAAAATATTTTGGCTCAGAAGTTTCGTTTTAGTTTGCTGTACCAGACCAGGGATCAGTTTTCATTTATTTTAGCGAATTATAAAACCGACTAACGATGTGGCATGCAAATGGTGATGTTAAAACCAAAATTATGACAGAACTATACAGACATCATGCAAAAAGAACCATCGTATCGTCTTCACTGTCAAAATTAATTAATGGCGTGTGTAAACAGTAATTAAGCAGCGTGGATACAGTACAAACACTTCATATCCGGTATCGTCCTACAGCAATGCGAACTTGCATTAAGCCGCCGTTACTAAATTAGACAGTGTCAGACAGTGAAGATCACCAAAAAACAACCTATCCACAGAAACTGGGACGCTGCAAAAACTCACCAGCATCGAACTACCATCCTCTAGGTCTGCCATGGCAGCTTGCCTTTCTGCACTAAATAAAATGCAAACGATGTATTTTAAACTGGAAATATAGAGGATTGCTGTTTATGATTAACAAACTTGCTTTTTCTCATTTCTTTTTCGCCATCTTAATCCTTCCTTGCATAGCGTCTGGGTAACATAACGACTTCCGCCATTTTCCTGCGGTTGCCAAGGAAATGCGATGGATTAAAGGGGAAATTCCGAGTGCGAGCGGTGATCACTAGAGGGCGCCAAGGCACTTCGCTCAAACTTCGTGCACGTCTAGCGATTCTTCGTACGACGAGAAATGTCCTGCAGCCTTCATATAACATTTGCGTGTAACATCTGGGATTAAAAAAATATATATTTAATTTAGTCATTCTAAAGACTGTACTTAATGTTTTTATTTATGGAAACAATAAAAGTATGTGTTCAATGTTTTATCCGACCCTTACCCTATTTTGCCTAGGATAAACTGAACTAAAAGTACAGTAGGCATATAAAATCTCGATATAAATGGGCCTTAAGGAAGTTGAGAATGGATGCAGTTTTACATAGTTATTAAATTCAATAAGTGTAGCAATAAACAAGATTTTAACATAGTTCAATATGAAACATCCAAAAGGTGTGTTAACCAACCATTTATTTGCAATTTCACATACTGTTGTTATTAGAAACAATTTTGGTGGTTCCTGGGAGCAGTTCACTGCGCTATGATGTCATCTTTTCTTTGTAGTATCGGAAATAAAACCAAAGTGCAAATTAATTTAGCAATGACCAATCCCTTTTTCTTCCGTTTCTGCCTTTTACACCTAATTTCCACAAGCACATAGGACACCAGACTCATTAACCATTGACTATAAAGGTTAGCCATAATTACACACTGCTTTTCTCAGCTAGAGCAAGGTTTGCATGTGTGTGTGATTGTGCTATAACGTGCCGCTTTGTGTTTATTCACCACATACGGAAATTAAAAGTCACAAGCGTATAACCGTAAAAGATGTTTGCTAATGACTTACACCTTCCTGCGAAGATTTGAAAAGTAAATATTGGCCCAAATCCTGTTCCCAACATAGAGTAACTAATTTATAGAAAGAAACAAAATTTTTGAAAAATGTAAGCTGCCGTTTCTTCTTTTTCTTGCAGACGCCCTAGACCAGGGGTGTCAAACTCCAGTCCTGGGGGGCCGGAGCCCTGTGTAGCTTAGTTCTTTCCCTGTTCCACCACAAATGATTCGGCTCAACAGCTATGTGGTAATTAGCACAAGAAGTTGAATCAGGTGTGTTAAACGAGGGGAAACCCAAAAATGTGCAGGGCTCCGGCCCCCCAGGACTGGAGTCTGACACCTGTGCCCTAGACCTACCGGACACTCAATGCAGTGATTATAACCAGCCAGTCTTGCTGAAATAACTTCCCTGTTTAACCACCAGAGGGAATCAAACATCACAGCAAGTTAAAAAGCTGTGCTATAGAAAACATCCTAAGATCTCGCTGGCATTATTAGTCTGTAATTTTTGCTTCTGTTTCAGTTTAACTGCATTTCATTCCACACATAATCTTGATATTTTCTAGGCCATTAGCCGCCCCCGCCCCCCAAAAAAAAAAAAAAAATTACATGGAGATAGATCTGTACCTCGTCATACTTCTATGAAATATGATGCACAATATTAGCATTGGATATCATTGCGTAGCACTGTCCAAAGACATAGTTACATGGTGTCTCCAAATTTCTCAGTACGCATGCATATTTGTGACCATGCTCTGAGATGGTCTGGCATCTCAGCTGAGGTGCGCCCCAGACTTGTGCTCTGTACTTTCTGAGATCGACTCCAGGCCCCATCAGCCTCACTAGGATAAGAGTTTAAGAGCTGGATGAATGGAAAGTGCCATTCGAGTATTACTTCAGATTTAATTCAACAGTATGACAAAATGGTAGTAACAGAACGGGGCTGTTTGCTGGGCGAATCTTCTATTGTTTTTATTAATGGAGTGAAATGTTTCCAGTTTAAAAGGGGGGGGCAGATAGACAGAAAATGGCCTGTAAATGGTGGGGGGAGTTGGACTTCATGTGGTGCAGTGATTTTAGGTGACAGGTTCTTTAAACCTGAAGTCATATATCCTTTTAAAACTGGCCTACCACTGACACCAAATTCAGCATTTATGTCCCACCCACCCAGACATAGTTTGTCCAAATACCTTCCTTTCCCTGCTGTCACCCCTTTGCTTTTCTTTAATTTTCTTACCTCTGTTTTGTGTGTCACTGGCTGTCCCAGCTGTACAAGGATACCTGTATGGCTTCTCTGAATATCTTTCTCCGTGGTAGTACTGTAGCTCTTTGGTCACACACACATATGTTTGTACTCATATCTTTGTGGGGACCACCCATTCAATTCTATTGGCAAAACCATAATACCAACAATGACAACCTTAACCCCTACCCAGCCCTAACCTTAACCATAAGTAACCAAACTAAGTACAATGCTTCTGGCATTTTTAGTTTTTTTTCCCTGTAGTCACAGATTTATTATTATTATTATTATTATTATTATTTAATAAAAATTAGTTTTCCCTTGTGGGGATCGAAAAAATGTTCCCAGAATGTCAAAATAACAGGTTTTTATCACATTATGGTGTACATTTGGTCCCCAAAATGTAATATAAACCTAACCCACACACACACACACACACAGACACACACACACACACAGTGTTGCCATGAAAACCCTATACACTCCTCTGAGGATAGCTTCTAAACAAAACTTGATACAGCATCCACATCTGTATATTCTGCTACAGTATGTGTTCTGAAGCAAATGTGGAGACATGTCATTATAACAGGGAGGGACTGGGCAGGAGGTGGTTTGCTCACCCCCATATAAACTCAGAGCCTTCTGGGAGACATTAAAGTCTAGGGTGGAGAAAAAAGACACTTGATAGCTAATTAAGGAAAATGTGGTGATGTCAGGTTGCCGGGCAACAGGAGAACAGAATGTGTAACATAACTCTTCATTGATAAACGTCCCTAGAACAGAAAACCTTTGTGCATCATTGTCCCTATTATCCTCTGTGGACTAGCATGTTTCCATTATTGATAGGCCAGGTATTTATTATATGTGTAATAAAGCAGTCTTTAGGAAAACGTTTTATTTAGTACAAAGGTGCAATAGTGTAATGTATGACTGGCTAAGGAACTGAAAATGTATTATCCTAAAGAACATCTTTTTAAACATGCAGTAATTACACAAGCAGATACTAAAATTACCATACAATTGTCTAAGCCAATATAACAATGATGTGTTTACTTCTCACGTGTGAACAGCAAATTTGACAGATTTTCATTTCACAGACCACATAAGTAGGGAATGACTGTCACATAGCAAAATACATTCTTCTTTCAGGAAATCTGCTTTTCTGTTGTCATGCTAAGTGCTCTTTGGATTGGGGAGAAGAAATGGACACTTCTCACATCTTAGGGGCTGTCAGATTTGCGGTGGCACTAATGCTTTCATGATCCAGTTGAAGTATGAGCGCTAAACAAGCCCTAAATGGTAATGACAGGAAGCCAGCTCTGCTCCGTAATGCTTCTGCAATTAAGAGCGGTTGGTCATTGGGGACAGAAGCTAATGCCAATTAGCAGTCTTCCCTGGGGCAGAGAGGTTTTTTGACATCCGTTTGTATGAACGTTCAGATTCTCTGCAGAGTGCCAGCAGCTCTCCGAATTGAATGACAAAACAATGAATTACATTGATGGACCATGGGGCATTATGATCGATTACCACGTAAATCCTTTACTAGCATTTGTGACCAGCCACACATTTGTCCAAGACTGTTATAATCTTTTTCCATGACTTTATTTACCGTGTACAACACACATGAAATACACAAACAGGGCATGCTGACAGAATATTGAGTGTACAAATTAACGAGAAAAAACCCACAAACCCCACACCCCCCAAATAAATACCAAATGATAAATTCTAAAATAAAAACTAGTAACCCAAATATGATGATGATGATTTTAAAATGCAGAGAACGTACTGACTGTATGAAATTCACATTTATCATAGAACAACCATGTAAGTTACAGTACCAATATGTTTATATAAGCAATAAATAGGGACCAGGTTCTTGAAAATCTGTCATCTGCAGTATGTACAGTATTGCCTTATTTTTTCAAGATGAAGCAAAGATATGATTTTTTGTGCTCATCGTCTAAAGGTATAGGCGGGTTCTTGGCCTTCCACTCTCTGAGAATTATGCAGCATGAAACAATTATAACCTTTTAAAGAGACATTAAAAAATAAAAACAGTTAAATTAGATTGTTGTCAGTAGACATTAATTGGCATACAGACAGCCCTATCCAAGTCTATCTGCGATATTTACTCATGCCTGCAAACGACCAAGATCTTCCAGTAAGACAAGTAATATTTCATGGATTGTAAATTTTGAATTATTTATTTCACATGTGTTTCAAGTAGCTGGAAAATGAGATTATGTGAATTTGCAGTATTGTAATGGGTTTTCAAAATAATTAAGAATTACATACAATTGGTCAATATTAATATTAGTGCATCATCAGTGTCATCAATACTCCACAAAGCAAACTTAATATATACATATGGATTAGTGTTTGTGTACAGATCGAAGGTCTGCCTTCGGAAGGATTACAGATGCCCACTTCTAAATCTCTCCTTTAGACTTTACTCACTCTTCCTGGGTGCAGGACCTCAAGGGCGACTAGACTACGGTTTCTTCACCCCTTGGCTTGGCCTGTATCTATCCAAGCCCATGTAGTTGACCTGATTCTGGCTTTATCCACAGGAAACAGGGGACCGACATTACCTGTGAAGTGCAGTCAACCTCTTCCCATATGAAAAGTCCCATTTCCATCTAAGCACTCAGTTTTCCCCCTGAGCTTTGGTTGTATCTTAATACAGTGGTACCTCAGAACTCGAACTTAATCCGTTCAGAATCCTAAAAAGTTCGAGATCTAATCGAATTTTCCACATAAGAAATAATGGAAAACCAATTAATTGGTTCACGGCCCCAAAAAATGACACCTAAATATGTTTTTTGTTTTAGCATTTAAACACAAAATGAACCGGATAAAACAAGAAGAGCATATACTGTACTAAACACATCTAAGCACATTTATCAAAACAGTAATTTGTAAAGTAAGAAAATAAATGTATCCAAACAATGTGTAAAGTTAAAAAAAACAATGTGTCCTGCCCCGATTGTCCGCTCATTCCGTGTGCCACGCCCCCTCGTTAACCTCGTGTGGAATCCCCGTGTAATCAGCTGTTTCTGGTTGTTTTCATTAGCCCTCTGTATTTCATCAGCGTTTCAGTTTGTTTCCCCAGTCCGGTCATTGTATTGTCCGTCTGCGTTTTGCCTGCCTTAACTGTAATTAAACCCCGTATTCCCAGATACCCTGACATCTGCACCTTTGTCTCCGTTCCGTCCCCACTCGGCACGACAATATTATTATAATTAAATGTATTCATGGTTTATTATTAATATTAAAATAATGAATAAGAAATCTAAATTTTTAAATGTATTTTATTATATAATAAATCACTGTTACTGTCTATCATTGTCTAAATGTATTTTTACTGTCTAAATATATGTATTCAGCTATACTGTAAACATGCACGATGCCATCACAGCGAATGCGAGGCTGAGACTGAAGCTTTAACCTTTGTTTTCGCTGACAGACGTGCCATGTGACTCATTTCCCCGTGCGTACAAGTTATCTTAGGTCGGCGTTCACGGTTTGACTTCTGAGATTCAGATCGAGTTCCAGGTAATTTGTTTTCCAACTGGTTGGTTCGACTTTTAAGAAATTCAAGGTCTTATGTAGTCTGGGAGTTGACTGAATGGTGGGGTGGGTGTAGTTTTTCCCTCTGTGGTGGGGTCTGGTTGGCTGCCCCGGGCTCTGTGGTACCCGGTGGTGCCGCTGCTCTGGGCCCCCGGACTGGATGGGCCT